TATTATAAGGATTATATTTAGGTAGTCGAAACTTTTAGTATAAACGAAAAGCAATACTCTGAATTTTTGTTATTTTTTACAAGATAAATACTCAAAATGCAATATAGAGTGAGTATTTTAATCGGGCATAAAGTGTACTGATAGACTCCTAAGTACGACAGTCACGAATAATAAAAAAAAATAGAACCACGAAGATGATTAAATTGAGCCCTTATAAAATTTATATAACAATACCATCGAAATTGAACAATGTAGTATCGACATTGGAATTGTGTATATGTAGATATTTTGCCACTATGTCAAATTTATATTATAAATAATAATTATTCAGAACTTGATGTTGACTGTTTTTATAATTATATCAGCGGTAGTTACTCGATGTTGTGGTGTAAATTAGTGTCTTATAGATTTAAGGTTATAAACCACTCAAAGATAGTATCTCAAATTCAATAATAAAGTAGTCGAGGCGAACATTCCTCATTAGCTAATTTTTATTTTCTCTCAATTCTTATTACTATTTATTGAGATCGAGGTACCTTTGAGTGGTTCATTATTTTGAATTCTCGTAGTATATAAATATTGGTGTGGTCTTTATATGTTCTCGTAATGTAAATTGTAACAGTTTTTATATAATTTTCAAATTAAATATTTAAATTTTATCGAGCACAGCAAATGTTCTGTAAATAGGCGAGTGTAAACTAGATCAAATATGATATATTTGACAGTTCGTTTTCACTTCGCACGCGATTGAGGCAACACTGGTTACAGTTGATCTTTATATCATGGTGCGGGTAACATTTCATTTTAACAATGTGATATAATTAAGATAGTATATTTCTTTTAAACGCGGACGATCTCGCGGTCAAAAGCTAGTTCAATATATAAACAATAAATTGACAATGTTATATACGACAAATATTTCTGGCTTGGCGAGGGTGGCGCTACTATCGCACAGTCGCACAGAAAATGACGTGACAAGACGTCTCGTTTCACTTTTTCCCACCAGGCCAGATAATGGAATCATTTGTCGCTCTATAGTTCCAATTCTAATTTACAGATAAGTTCAGATTTCAGACTTTATAGAATTATGACCAAAAACCTTTCCCTTGGTACATCGAAATGTTACCCATACTGAACCATTATGTTTAATATTTATCGTTTACCGATGACTGTGAGTTTATGGGCATTATTTTGAGTGTTATAATTTTTAAATAATATTATGTTGGAATGTGGTAATTACCGTTTGCTCGGTGTAACAGCAGGACGAGACTGGGAGACATGCGTATTGAACGTGAGAAATGCGCACAATTACGTGACGTCATGCAACGTTTGTGAATATATCTCCGTCCATTTCATAAATGTATTTTATGTTAAAATTTTATTTATTAAGTGTCCAGCTTCTAAATGGATTGTTTTTTTTTAATTTGAAGTATAAATAGAATAATTCGACAGAAACAGAAACTTTCTTTAGACCTTTTTATTTCTTTTACTTTTTAATTAAGAATTCTGTTTCTAAAAGTATTTTCTGTTTTCTTTTGTATTGTTTGTATTGAAGTTAAATATTTGTCATATCTTCGGTTCCAGTTATTCATTCTTATGATCAATTTAATTTGAATTGAAACTTGAAATGGTTTTTCAAATTTAAAAATAACTTTGATTAATTTTTTTTAAATTTTTGCTACCTCTAACACCATTTGTAGAAAGCTGGACACTCTAAATTATATGGTTTATAGCAGCTGACGACTTTTTACTATTAGACTTGATTATTTATTTTAACAAATATGTATGTACATAATTATGCCTTTCTATAATTTTTTGATGTTTATTTTATTACTGCAAGTCAATTGCGAAGTGGTGTACCAAGAAGGGGGATAATTGTGAATGTTTGTGTAAAGTTGTGTTATCGATATCTTTTCGTTTTTGAAACTTATAGATGTTGTCTTTACGAAAAAATGTGTTATCAAGAATATTTTAAATTCAGAGTTAAATGCCATTTAAAACGCGCGTGCGTTTGAAATTAGTAGTTATTAAATTTATTTATAATTTATTATAATTTAAATTGGTTCTGGAGTTATTTATTGGTAATTAATTCAATTTTAATTTATATTTCTAGATGATTTCTTATAAGCCGTAATTTAATTTTTTATTCATTCCTTAGAATCTATTGGTTAAGATAAAATAAAAAAAATGTGGCGATTTCGGAACGATATATTATGTTTAAATATAATTACATTCTGCTCAATAAGGACACAATGACTCTGAAAGATCATGAAAGCAAATGAACGGTAACACAATCTCGGTCAGGGATCGGGGTTATTCTGATAAGTTTCGAACAATGTTTCTTGGCGGTTACGGCGATTGTGATATTATAATAAGTTAGATACCACGTGACGTAAGATGGCGGCACATCAACGACAGCCAACGAAGAACGAACGGAGACTGATTTTCGGGTAGAAGTAAGATAGGCCAGATGTTTCTCAGTCAATATGTAATATCTACATATAGGTGTTGAGTTTTTAACGTTTTTAAAAAGCCAAAAAACAGTTTCAATAGTTAAATACATAAAACAATAAGAGAGTTTATTTAATTTTTAAACATAACTTATACAGAATGTTTTATATACCGATCTTAAATTATTTTTCAGATGTATTGATTTTTATATGTGTCAATATACAACAATGAATAGTGGTAAGTGTAGTTAAAGTAGATGGGTCTATTAACCGCGTGGTGCTACAAAGTGTAATGATATGTGATAGAAACTGTTCTCCAGAGACCTTTTATTTATTGAAGCTTCATAGATAATTGATGTAATTCATCCGGCATTACTTAACACTTTATCAGCTATTTGATTAGCTGACGGCTTCATTTATTCCTTTCCAGAATTCTAAACTGAATCGCCGGGTCAATTGTGTCTCTTAGAAACCAAAGTATTCTATTATGTAAGTTTAACACTACTGGTTTCTGAATACATTTAATTGTGGAAATTATGAAATTGTATATTTATTACAATGTTGATGTGGAGGTTTTTAAACTTACTTTGATTTCAGCTAGTGTTATCGTCGATAAAGCTGGTACTGTTAGGTAGAAAATATTTAATCGGTTTCGGCTCTCGTCTTAGTTGCTTATATTTATGTGTTGACTTGTTTTATACGTAGCATTATTCCTAGGTAATAAAGATGTGTTGAAGTTTTTACTTCAATCGCTATTGATAAATGTACAACTTACCATGTTGAATTTGATACGCTGAAGATTTTTAAATATTTGTGAGTTAATATTTTTCCAGTCACAATTTTGTATGGTCCTTGGCAAAGAATATTTTCATTTATACTCAAATATTCGGATGATTTTTAACCATAAATCTAGGTTAAAGTACATACTGTTATATTATATAATATATTTTTTTTACTGGATATTCAGATAATTATTACTGTTAAACATAGTCCTGTTTTATAGTTTTAACACGATAATCTTATTATATTAACATTTATATATAGGTATTTCAAGATTTTTAATTTGGCGGATAGGTGTTTCGAACATTTATTTTTTTTTACCTGAGAACAGTCCATTTTATTTAATATATCTTGTCCATTGTCCAAACTAACTTAGATATAGTTCAATATTTTGGATGTGTATTATGCCACATTCTAAATGAATTGCTATTGTGTATATTGTTTCATTAAATATCGATGTGCAAAATTATAGTAAATGTCTTGGATCTCTAAATTTAAGTAAAAAAAAAGACAAAAAACACTTTACGAAATTTCTAAATGTGCAATAAATGTGTGTGTTGTAGTGTTACCATTAGGCATAAAATTTTTACTGCGAAAATATGGTTACTGGACTCAGTCCGGATGGTGAATGCTGTCCATAATTTTTAATATTTGTGCTTTTTAATATAACAATGATCTCATTCTAATCAGTAACCATATTTTTAACGTGTTATTTGAATATTTGGCACTTTAAAAAAAAAGCACATTTTCCTATTATACCTTATTGAAAATGGTTTGAAAACGTGTTGAAAATGGATTTGTTGGGTAATTAATTTCGTAATGAAATATATTTGTTTCATTAATAATAAGTGTTTTATTTAATCATCTATACCATAACCTTTGACTAAGTTTAACGTCTTAAAAGGCTTTCTTCCATATAATGCCTCTTAACACAATATGAGCCATACACTTACACAAAGAAAATAACTCAATGAGTAAACAAATCATAAATAAAGTAAACGATGAATGTCGTAACAATAATTGCACCTTTTTCGTAAAAGCCTCTACAGATTATAAAAAGTAGAGATTCAACTATCTAATGGAGTTCAATATTTTAAATCTTCAGTAAAACTCATTATCAACATCATCCTACGCTTTCGTATGGGAAGTATGTACTAAACATTTGGTACAGTATGTTCAACTTTTTCATAAACCTCTATCTATATCCTATCAATCCCTTCTTACGCAAATCTTCTCACTCAAAATCCAGCCATACTTTCTTTAGTCTTTTACTTTTGTAGCCATCCACTTTCAATCTTTGGTAAAACTATAAAGTCTAAACCAAACGTACTTTGCCTTTAAATCTGTAGTAAGTATTCATGTTTAAACTGTACAGGTGTACGTTTGAGGTTTCAGCTCTCAACTGAGCTATTTAATAAAAGATGTATCGACGAGCGCTGCAGGATGTCGGAATATTTTAAACCGTTTGCTTTAGACTGGCAGGTATCAATTTTAAGAAACTGAATTTACGAGTACTTTCCTTTACCCGTTAGAGAAACTAACCTTGTTCTTACCTTTTAGAAAAGATTTTATTTCTGTCGCCGATTTTTTATTTTGTCAAACAACCTGTATTTCTGATAAATGTTAAATTAATACTGACTATTAATTACGCTGCAATTGTTATTGTGTATTTTAAGAGATACATATCTAACTACTTATATTTTTGAGTATAAAATCGAGACTGCCGAGGATACATTCCATTCTTTTCTTTTGCTTCTCAACATTTATTTACAATTGTACATACCTCAATAATATGTGGTCAGTAATAATTTTGTAGCTCAAAATTCAACAAAACTACATTATATCAAATTCGGAGAATAATCAGAAGCTTTTAATTTGAATAGCAATCAAAATACTTGGTAATAATTTAAATAATACTTTGCATAGAAGAGCGTGAATAATTCTAGGACGTTATGATTTCATCTCCATTCAAATATTTCCCGTCGCGCTGATCTCGGAACGTGATCTAGGGAGTTGGATCGCCTTGAATACTAAGCATAACGCTGATACTGCGGTACTAGATTGAGAAGTCACTACAACTCGGGCGTGATGTATGATTTTCTATTTGCTATTTTTTTGTCGCAGTTAAGCAATGATTTGTGAAGTACATTAATAACAATTTTACACAAAAGTGCAACTTTAATAGACAAAACAAACAATATAATATTGATTAATTTTTGTAAATGACCGCAGGCGTACAGAAACACTTTTACAAAAACATTTGTTATCCCTTTCATTTCATTAAATAAAACAGAGTTAACGATATGTTTTGTACAGTTGAAACCCGTGGTTAGATAGAACAGTCCGTATCATTAATTAATCAACGAGAGATTTTTGTAATAAATAATACACCGAGACATCTGACCGTTTCCATTCGTAGTTTGACCTTTAATATTAAAAAAATAATCTTATAAAACTACGCATATTATTTCTGCATAAATTTTTCCTTGCCAAAGTTTTTAAATTTGAAGTTTTGATTACAGTTTAGTATTTGTTTGCCTTTGGGTTATATTCATCGGTAATATTTTTTGACCTTATTAACTTCTTACTTATCTATAGCTATAACTATAATGTAGAAAAACATAGAAGCTTAACAGTAAAATCTGCTACGCCAAATAAACTTTAGTGCTACGCAACGTAGCTCTCTCGATTTGACTACGTTTCTTTTGGCCTAAAGTTTAAATTCGTTAATATTGTGGACTACTAGCAACTTTAAACAAAACTACTTTATTATTAATGTGTTGGTTACAATGTAATCAAGCGAGCCTCCAAATGCCCCAATTTCGTTGAACCACGTCACAACCACGAATCTGCAATTATTTAATCGTTTTTGAGGTGTTGCTCTACGGAAACTGTGGATTCGTAATAACATCGTCAAAGTTTAAACAATATCGATTGTTTTGTACCGTACATTACTGTTTTTTGAAACTTTTCGTGCATTGGATAAGAAACAAAAGAAGCGATGTATTGCTGCAGTGAAAAACGATCGCTGTTGAATACGTACCTTGTAACGGTACATCATGTAGGGTGCCCCAGGCACGATACCAATAGGGAGGAGTGATCATTCAAGCGCGTATGTTGTACTTCAAAAATTTCCCCACTTTTAGGTAAAATTTTTCCCTATTTAATTATTAAGTGAAACGTTTTATCTTACATTATTATTTATTAATATACAATATTTACAAACAACTTTAACAACAATGTAAAAAAGTAACAATGAGTCTTAAATTGAATAGTAAAGTAATCATTTTAATTTCAATTACTTCCTGAGATAGTGGAAAATTTTTGCAAGTGGTATAATAATTGTAACACAATAAAATGTGTATTTTTCAAGACGTGGTAAATAATATTCCTGAGGGGCAACACTAACGGCAAGCCACCGACCGACTTTAGCTTCAGTCTGCTCAGGGACGTTGCCGGCGACACATCCCGCGGCCTCTCTCGGTCACTCCTCACTATACATATACATATACGATACGCGTGTGTATTAGCGAACCTCTAGACTTTACCGTTTGCACTCCTTCGCTTTATAAACTATTTATCCAAGGTCATCGTCGAATTTGACACCTGTTGTTTATGTTATTCAAAAGGTAAGTACTTTTTTCTTTTCGTATAGTTGATTTTTTTACTTTTTTATGACTTTTTATTTAATAACTATGATGCCGTTTACATTTTTTTTACATAAAAATTAAACGTAAACAATAAAAAACAAACAATGTTATGTTTATTCCATTACATTTATTAAAAGATTACCAACATATTTCATAACAATATAATTTAAAAATTGTATTTTTCTGCTAGTATTGATTATTTTTTTTACTTATAAGGGTACTTTTATAAATATATTTTGTTTGTAAGGCGGTAATTGGGATTTCCTGGCTAGTCAGCCAACAGCCGGGCCGGGGCGGCGGAAGCGTCGGATTCATTCAAATAATTCAATTAAATCTCGCGCCGAGCAGAGGGCAGGCCGTTTCACAGCTGCAGATGAGATGCTGCTAGGGATGCACATTATCCATATTAGTATTCAATTGTTACGTCATCTTATCATTTTTTTTACTAATTAAATTATTAAATAGAATATTATAAACGAATTATTAACTTAAATATATTATTAAAAGGAGTTCCTTTAGGCAAGGTTATTATTTTTAAATGCTATTCAACATCTATCACGCTTTTCATTTTCAAAAGTTGCAAGTTAAATCATGTAAATTGGCTCTACTAATACATTTGTTATGTAAGTTTATAAATTTAATTGCAAATAGACAGAATTTGACTAGTACTTATAAATACAACTATCACTATCACTATCTCAAAGGCCAGCAACGTATCTGCGGTTCCTCTGGTATTGCTGATGTCCATGGGCGTCGTTGAACACCTCGGTGTTCACACTGCTCGTTTATCCCCTTCTGTTATAAAAAAAATACACATATGTACTAGTAATAGAAAATCATTATTGTCGGTTCGAATTTTAGGCGCTGAGATAACACCGTCTATGTTTTTTTAAGAAAAGGGATGGAGGTATCGATAATATCGACATAGTAGGTACTTCCCTATTAGATTTTGCCTCGAGGCATGACGACGCTCGGCGCGCGTCCGATGCATCGGCTAGCTGTTGATTGCAATCATTTCTCTATATTTTCTATCCAGCACCTACATTATTTATTAATGAAGCTTATGAAAACAAGAAAAAATTAAATATACGTTGTGAAACGGAGAATTACCGATTACACAAACTTAACCAAAGTATCTGAAATTAAGATTATGCCAAAGTAATTCTGTTCAATTAAAAAATCTTAAGATAACGGACCTATAAATTATAATTTTTTAATCAATACTAAATACCAGTAAAAGTTGAGCCTTCAGTTAGTAAGCGATTTGTGGTTTACAATTATTAAGTTAATTAAAATTTAAAACGAAATAAATTATTAATATAACATTTGATCTGTTAAGTCTAACAGATCACACATGAGCTAGATAGATTGATAGTTAAATTTCGATAGTTTATTTGCTATTTGCAATTATCACTCCAAAACTACGACCAATCAAAAATGTTACACCTACGTAAACCTTGTAGGAATTTTCTAATTCCACGTTAACTACATTTTGTTGAACAAACAAGTTATTTAAATTAATAATGTAGAGATGCGGTTCTTGAGAAGTGTGTTAGGCGTGACTCTGAATAAAAGGAAATAAGGTTTTAGTAGAAATGTGAGCCTGAAAAGATACGTGACTAAAATCAAAAGTCATGGCTTGGTGAAGGTGTAATAAAGGGTTGATTGAAAAAGGAATACAATTGCCAAT